ATAAGGTCATTAACGGCCCAGATTTAATTTTATAAATGTTAATTTTTCAGGGGCTTTCCTAGTTAACTTTATCCTGGAGAAATATTGTTTTTAACTTTAACTTAATACCTTGTTTAACACCAGAAGAAAAAAACAAACAGTCACAGAGTAATTCCCTGGATTTCAGGTACGTTTACTTGAAGTACAATATATGAGTACTCTATTCCACCTCTGATGTTTTCCTCAGAAAATGTGACGCGCGAATCTTCAGATGTACTGTCTGACGGTGGATTGACCATGGTGGCGGCCCACGTACACAGTGGCCCTGCGGGTACACCAGGACCATCTCACGGGCGATATGTACCTACGCTACAACTACCGCAGTGTGCCTCGCTGAGGTACATGTAAACTGGTACTGAGTCTCTGTGGATTGCTGAGCAAAGTAATGAGTGTCCACATAACTTACACATTTTACAACAGGAGTGGTGATACTCTGAAAAATGAAGGAAAAAGTAATTTTTACAATTCTCTTCTAAGTAAAAAAAAAAGGGAATTATAAACAACATCTCCTCATAAATCATCATGAAGGGTAGATAAGATGACAGAGGAAAGGTGTGTCAACACAGCAGTGCACGTGTATTTTGATTAATTTGTTAAAGGTCACCTATCATGTTATTTTTAGGCAAATAGCATAGGTCTCATATATAATAACAAATATATAAAAACATGTCCTATGAAGTGTTTTTGCTCAAAAATACCGATCACCCATTCCTAGCCATGCCTCAATATCCCTCTATTTAACTTTCCTGTTTTCAAAGATGCTGATTTGGGGTATTAAAGCTTTTAAAAAAAGTAAAAATTGGATAAAAAAGGAGGGGGCTGGAGCTCATGCGGGACCCGGAAGCTACCGTCTAAACTAAATACTGCCGTGATGAAACGCCATATCATGGATTATCAAGGATTATTTCTGAAACAGTATGGAGCTCAAAGGCTTTCTCTCTTGCCGGTTATACCACAAGGTGAGTTCCTTTTCATTTCCTGCTTCTTCACACACATGCTCTCCAGTACAGGTTAGCTCTGAGTGTTAGCGATGCTAATGTAAACACCGACCAAATTACGTCCAAAACAGTCGGGCATTGTTTCTGATAGCAACGTTTCTGATTGGGCCGTGGGTCCACATTTCCGATATTTCATATCTGACGCAAATCTGGATCAGCTCCGCTGTAGCCCCGTTTTTAGAGATTTGGGTACGGAGGAAAAGAGAGAGGGTTTTATTTTCTGACGCTGCGTGAGTTCCCCGACACACCGGGGACACATCTTTATGTATAAAAGACATCAAAAAGTGCATTTTGCATGATAGGTCTCCTTTAAGGTAAAGTCTGACCAAACAGGGGCCATGATGTATTCCCCTAAATTGTAAGTATTTAAAAAAAACTGACATAAGTTAGTGAGTCAGCTACAGACAAGCACACCTACGATAAATGTTGAATATCATAGGACATTATGTCAAAAGTTCACAGCTGATGTTATTGTCCATGTATTAGTTAATATCATGTAAACTAACATGCTAGAGTTATCTAACATATCATAGTGACATGTAACTGACGTCATGTATTTGTGATGAACCATTTTGAGACAGATTTAGTTCAGGTGCCGAGCTGCCTAACTGGTTTGTACAAGAATGACTGGTTAGTCCTCTGTAATTATAAAAGGAATTCAAGAACAGCTATTCAACGACTTCTGAGGTGTAATAGATCTGTTTCAAAGAATAATCAAATGCATTTAAACTTTACATTTATACTTCTTCATCAGTCTGTTTTTATGTCCCCTTTCCCAGAGAAACGGGAAGTTTTCCCAGACTGAAGAGCGCTTTAATGGAACATATATTCTGCAGCCCCAAAGAGCTGCTGAAGCTGAGCGTGCCCTCCGTAGTGTACGCGATTCAGAACAACATGGCCTTTCTTGCCTTGAGCAACCTCGACGCTGCAGTTTATCAGGTATGAATTTAATCCTTTCTTTAAGCCCCTGTCACACTGTCCCGAAATTGACACACGATTAAGGAAATGTTCAAATTCGGCTCTGATCGTAAAAACATCGGGCCATTGGTGAGGGCATCTGAAGCCATCGTATGACCGCCGGTGGAGTTTCTCAGGCTCCGGCAGCAACTTCGGGAGCGGTGGCAACATCTTTGGCATCACAAAGATGGCTTAAGATGCCCTCACGAATGTCCCGATGTTGTTACGATCAGAGCCGAATTTGAACATTTCCTTTATCGTGTGTCCATCTGGTTGTTTTATTGCACAACAAAATCATGTAAACATATTATGTAAATAACCCAATTTGTGTTCTGTGAAACTAAAAAGGATATAATATATTATTTTGAAGGCGAGGAAGTTGTTGTTGCTATGGAAACAACATGACGGAGAAAACTTAATATCTTCTACATATAAAGACGGAGAAAGTAAAGAACAAAGTCTGAAAATATCAGTACAGTATCATAATACTTTAACATAATTGTTTGTGTTACTTTCGTTGCAGTTGTATGTCTTAAATGTAATGTAAATGTTGCCTTCGTGTGTGGTTCGGGGCCATCTTCGTGCGAAATTCACAATTCCATATTCGTGTGTCCATCGGGTGTCAATTTCGGGACAGTGTGACAGGGGCTTTAGCATTTGGTTCACAAATACAGAAAATGTATTAAAATATTTAATTATAACGATGGAAGTATGAAAAATCATTGTTACTTGTATGACATGACATTTAAAGTGTATATTAAACATGTACAAACAATTGAAAATAAAATTGTTTTTTCAGCCATTGGCCGTATTTTTCACGCATCAATTGGTGGTTTTTTGTCCATACTTTCATTTGATTTTCAGTATTATTATTTATATAAAGGTACGTGGGAAAGGAGTGCTTGCAACAAACCTGATGGGACATTTAGCTGTAAGCCAACTACTTAGTTTAAAACATTTATTAGAAAATGTTACGTTACATTAATTATTTAAATAGTTCAATTAACTATAACACCTTTTAAAATGTTACCTTCCCCAACACTAAGATAAGCTAAGCGCATTTCGTCAATACTACTTGGGTACTAAAGTAGGAGTGGAAGAGTATTTTACCTTGTTGTATTACTAGACTGATTTTTATTAAAGAATCAAAAAAGGATTATAGGATGAAGTTTTCTCATCTGGAACGCATTTCCTTTTCAATTATAACTGCTGTTGATTTGTTAATGTACTAGAAGTCTGCAGGTGGAGGGAAGAGTTTCACTTTCAGCCGTCCTTTGAAGCTCCCCCGGTGAAGTGGATGGTGTAAAAATGTAAATGTAATAAAGTGGAATGGGCTTACACAATGAGCAGAAGGCCGTAGAGGAAGGATTCGGAGAAGTCGGGAGGATAGATGAGCTTCAGAGGCAGCGCTGAGGACGAAACAAACATTAACTCAAGGAGAGGTGAAGCAGAGGACGACAGGAAGGGAAAAACATTCATATAATGAATTAGTGCGGTCACCATTTGTACCAAAGTTGTCATTAGTTATCGTGTGTGTTTCATTCCGAATCCTCTTCTTCGTCTCCAGAGCGGAGCGGAGAGGGAGGTTGTTCTCCAAGATGAAATAGGCTGTGAATTACAAAAAAAGAAACCCGTATATATTTCTTAATATCTAACAAGCCTATGCATGATTCCTCCCGGCAGAGAAGTCAGAAGTTCACATTAAATATTCAGCATTTCGTCCAGAGGCTGCAGCAAAGGGCAAGGCTCCATTTTGATTTCATAACATGTTTTCTATTCTACATGTAAAAACAGAACAGTTATCAATATATATATGAGGTGGCTGCTTCACCTTGCAGTCAAGCATTTATTCAGGATATGGATCAGCACTTTTCTTGTCATTTTTCAAACTAATTTACTTTAAAAAACCTGAATATTGGTCAGTAATTACTATTATTTAATATATTCACGATGGCCTTGATCAGCATATCAGTTCTTTCTAAAACATTTATTTATCAGCTTTTTAGGCTTAAGGCAAGTAGTATTAAACTCCTACATTTACAAATGTACCAAATAATTGCTTCCCAAATCAGGAAGTCTTGTGCAAATGTATGAATTTATTATCTCACAATAAATTCAGCGGGTTTATGTCTCATTAAACTGTGAGTGTTATCTCCTAATTCACCATCTGAAATCAAAGAGTAAGCAAGAAATGAATAGTGGTGAATAAAGTGGTGCAGTTTGGATCCAACAGCTGCTGATGTTTTATCGCTGCGCACTATTTAGCATTTCCATCACATCAACACAAAATGGTTTGGTATGAAGGGGAGTAAAGAAGACTCACAGTTCACATCGATGAAACTCAGGAGCAGAACAGCTGGAACTCCAGGTCCTGCAGGGGGATGGAATAAAACATTAGGTTTGGATGTTTTAATGCATGAAACGCTCATAAATCGGTACCTTCTTTAGGCTCTTTTGATGCATTTCGAGGTACTTTCCGACTTATGTGGGGCTTTTTTCACATTGTATAATTATGCCATTTTTTTTAAGTAGCAAGACGAAATGGAGCAAAAAGGGCACTGAGGGATTTCTTTCAGAACATTTTCATTTATTAAAATATCAAAGTAATATTCTTCAAGAACATTAATATTCATGAAGTATTATGTGTCTATAAAAGGAAACATCAATCACATTAACTTCATCTTAACGTCAGGCACTTGAAATGGAATTTTGTATCATTTAATGTCATGTTTGTATCTGTTATTGGACATTTTGAATAAAAAATCTTGTGTTTATATATCGTATT